TGCAGTGCCTAAGACATTTGACTGCAAACCAGAAGGCTGGCAGTTCAAACCCACCAGCCACTCCTCGGAAGGAAGGTTGGGCAATCTACTTCCGTAAAGGCACCACCTCGGAAACCCAAGGAGGGGTTGCTATGGGTTGGAACGGACTCAATGGCAGTGAGTTTGCTTTTTTTCTCTTTTGAACCCATGAACAAGGGCTCTAGTGGCACAGTGCCTAAGGCACTTGACTGCTAACCAGAAGACTGGGCAATCTACTTCCGTAGAGATACGGCCTTGGAAACCCCAGGAGGGGTCGCTATGAGTCAGGGCTGACTCGACGGTAGTGAGTTAAGAGTTTATAACCTGAACAAGTTTATTCATTCTTACGTTCCAGGTTGCTACCATCTACACTGTTGCAAAACAAAGACATTTTCATAGAAAATACAAATAAGTAAAAACAACAGAGTTAACAGCTGCAGGCACCTCCCCTCGCCTCCATAGAGAGCTGGGGCTGTGGGCAGATGCAGCTCTTTGGGGAAAGGGTTACCCTAGTGACGGCCTCCTCCTCTCCAGACCTAGGGCCTTGCTGTCTCAGTGCTCCCTGGGGAACAGGAGGGAGAACACTGGGGGTGGTCCTAGTGTTTCTCACAGTGGCTGCTCCTCTCGGCCCCTCAGGGTGGGGTTGATGGCGCCTGGACCGCACCTGCCCACAGCCATCGTGGTGGTGGACGCCACTGGGCGGTTGTGCCTGGAAAGTGGCACTTTTAAAGCTCCCTGGGATGTGGAGGCTCGCCAGGTTGGGAAGCCCTTAAGACGCTTCCGAGGTGCGTTTCTGATGCATCTGATGTGAGGACTGAGCCCCTTGGGGGCCTCATTAGCTGGCCGACGTTTGCCATCAGGACAGTCTGGGAAACTCTCAGAGCCTCTCCTTCCACCAGAAATGACTGACTTCCACCAGAAATGGTTTTCTAGAAACATAAGGTGTTCTTCTGCCTCCTCCCTGTTTCCAGGGGGAGCTGAATGGGCACAAAGGCCTTGTCCCTTCAAACTTCCTGGAAGAAGTGCCTGATGACGTGGAAGTCTATCTCTCTGACGCACCATCCCACTGCTCTCAAGACACGCCGACGCGCTCAAAGGCAAAACGGGTAAGCAACTGCACACGGCACTTGTAACTTGGCTGTGTGGCCATGTGTGGTCTCCTCTCTCCACCCCAATTTTTGTACCTTGGGCTGAAACCTATACCCACATTCTTTCCTGTGCCCTTCAATCAGGGGTTGTGCCTAAAAGTCCTTAAGTTGACCCTCTCCTGTCCAGTCAGTCCAACGTCCCTGCCGAGGGAGCGTCTGCACCCTGTCAGAGCCACGGCAGCGGGAGGGATGTTTTCTGTCGCTGTGGCGGGGCCCCTGCCCTCCGCCAGCACCACAGCCTTCAGGCACACTGCCGTTCCAGGTTACACTCATGTTTAGTGTCTCACTTTTATTTTGTCTCATCATGGCAGCTTTTTCTATATTACATTTTTCTATCTATATTTTTATTTCTTTGCTCATCTGCTTGGAAACAGAAGAAGAGTGTTCATTTCACACCTTAATCAGGCAATGTAGCCTTCACGTAAGTGAGCAACTGAAGATACCTATAAAGATACCAACTTAGGCTACCTTAAATGGACTTAATGCGGTAGACTTAAGGCTTCACTGTGCGGTCAAAACAAAGAAATATGTCTCAAAAAGACCACTGGACCTAAAGTATTAGGATATCACTTGGTCTCAGTTGTAAAGCAACTAGATTTGTAGTGAGCCAATCTTTACTGATAATCATTTCCTACTATTTACAGTAAGCATCTTATGAAAGGCCAACATTGGGAACATATTTCTTAACAAGTGCATTGTCTGTTTACATAGAGAAATGTCCCGCTCATGCCTCATGGTTCAAGCTGCATACTGCACTGCTAGCCACTCTGGGAAAAAGCACAACTTAACATGTTGACTAAGGATATTTTATCTTAAGGGAAAAAACCAACCCGTAGCTCCAGAAAAGCAGAGGAGTAGTGAGCATACAGACAGTCTGCAGTGGGCTCGAGGTGTGGGCTAGGGACTGGAAGGTGGCCCCCGTGGCCGCCCCCTCAGGGCCCTCGAGTTTGGGGAGCGGGCTTGCCAGGTCCGCTCTCAGACATCAGGCGCAGTTGATGGTATCTTCAGGTGTCCTTTGGGATGCTCGACTGGGTGTTTCCATTAGAACAAGACCTTGATTTCAAATCCAAGCAAGCTTGAAGCCCTTTGGCGAAAATCATCTGCCTGGTGAATAGTGAAATCACGGCAGCAAGGGTTTGCTCTGCAGGCTAGGGTGCTAGAGAGTGGCCAGTCTTACACAACCCCAGGCAGGGGTCTAGTTGTCAAACTCAGTGACACACACGCATCCTGCAGTGTGGTGGACTCTAGTTCTAGCTCTTAGAAGCACTGTTGAGAAAACTATCTGGAAATCATGAAAAAAGCAAACAAGGGCCTTAAGCTTTCTTTGATTGCAATTAAGGTTCATTTTAGTTTTTTTTTCCTTTCTTTCAACCAGTGTGCCATCTTTCTGTAGGGACCTAACTAATCCCAGAACGCTGTCAACAGCAGCAGGATTTTATATAAGGAACTTTAAGATTATTAATGGGCACTCGGCCAACTTTATTATCAACCCAATTTGCAATATATTCCTCCCCCTCCATTTTTAGTCATCATTTACAAAGAAACGATCACCTAGCTTGGTTTTGCCAAAGCGGAGGCCACCCCCTTCCCTGAAGACCAAGAAACTGAACATGAAATCCTGATGCTAAGCCCTCCCTTAGCTGTCCCACTGGTGGGGGGTGCTGCTGGCTTCCCGGGCATGCTTTGAAGACACGCAGCTGCCCTGCTCTTTCCTGGTGGGGATCGGGACAGGGCCGTGTGGCTGCTTGCACACTCAATGAACTGTCCCCACTGTACCTACTAGGTTGCTCCTGAGGGGTCAGGGACAGCAAGGAGAGCTCCATCCCCCACAGCCCATCTCCATTCGGGGTCACCTCCGTCATCTGTGGGTTCTGGTAGTCCTGGGAGAGGCAGGGAAATGTCCTCGAGAAAGAAAAAGGGGCTGCTTTCCAAGGGCAAGAAACTGCTGAAAAAGCTTGGTGCAGTGAAGTGACACGTGCGCGCTGGACGCCTCCCCACTCCCTGTGCTTCTAATTCCAAACTAGGGCTCTCAGGACTCATGTCCTTCCCAAACACACTCTCCTCCCCCGCCACCAGTAGAGACACGCACTTTGCACCACCATCCACTTTAACCTGCGAGAGCAGAGCGGAGCGGTGGCTCTCGGCCACCAGGGCCCAAGGCCTGACGTGGGAGGTGGCGGATGGCTCTCTGTCCCTCAGTCTTTGTGCATTTGTCACCCCACCCCCTGGGAGCAATGACTGTCAACCTCACCATGTCTCCCATGCACACCTCCACTGCCCTCTGGTCTTGAGATCCCTAGTTGACTCCGCCTTGATGTCCTTGCCTTATCAAATGCACAGTGATCTGTACTGTTGAATAAAAGATGCAGTGTCTACTTTTGTATGCGGTGTGCGTTCAGTGGTCTTCACCCTCATGGACACAGCGCTCGGGAAGACACGCCAGGCAACACACAGACATGTCTACCTTTCAGACAGGAGGGAGGGCCCCGTCTTCTGACCCACCACATGCTGACAGCTGTCACTGCTCTGAGAGTCACAGCCTGTGGCAGGGGGCTTTCTGTTACTTTCACTCCTTGTCCCAAAATTCCATACCCAAGTATTCAGCAATGAGTAGCCCACATGCAACATCACCCACACAATACACATGCAACCCCATCACTGGCCTTTCCACAGAAGACTTACAAAGTTGCTGGCAGATGTATTTGGTGGTTACTATTTTGTAATTTCTTGTCCACTTGTAAATTATTTTTACTCTTTATAATATTTTCAGACTGCCTTTCTTTTGTATTTATGGAAGGTTTATAAACGAATGCTCTAAGCTTTCCCCATTGTGTCTTCAAAAAATATATTGCAAATTGTAATATAATGGTATGTGTTAGATTGATTAAAAGGAAAGTAATCATTTACTGTGTGCAGTTAAGTATTGTGTGAGTGTGTGCATGTGTACAGTTAGTGTAAAATATTTTATAGAAATAAAATTTGTTATTTTATACAATGCTGCCCCTGCTGTATCTTTGTCTTAAGCATCCCTTCTTCGTAGCAGCATAATTCTTTTATAGGGACAAGAAAAACCCTACTTGTGTCTCCCCAGGACTTTTTTTTTCCAATGCTGACATACTCTGTACCATTGGGGACAACTAGCACGGGGCTGCTGTAGTTCCTGTTCATGAGAAGTGTTCACATACAACAGGTCCTTCAAAGGCAAGTTCAACCTATAGCTGTTCCTGCTGCCCCTGGGCCCATTTAGACGTCAGTGTTACTAACAAAGGACTAAACGTTTCCTAATCCAAACAATCCTCCTACAATCCTTAACACACGTTCGTATTTCACTTCCATTTATTTCTGCTGGTCTCCATTGCTTTTCCAACCTCTATGTCGTGTTTCTACCCTCTGTCCCGTCTCTCTCTCCATGGGGTGTGTCCTTTTAAGTTTATGTGCATCATTACTTCCCACACTTGTACTAAGATAAGGTAGGGAGTCTGCACTAACAGTCTGAGTGCAGTTTTCTGTCTTCAGGGATTGACCTAAGAGTTAAAGCTAAGCCCACGTCGTACAAACTCTTCAGCACAAAACTTAATTGCCTTCTAGTTAAACGGACTTCAGAAACGCTTTCCTCACTGGCTGTACAGCGGCATGCAGTGTGCCGGCGACGGCTTCATGTGACTGCCCAGTCGGGAATTTGGCCAACTTGCCCTGTGTGCTTTGGTCAAATATTTTACTGCGACATAAACTATCAAACCAAACAACAAATCAAACTCACTGCTGTCGAGTTGCATCCAACCCATAGCGACCCCTCCTTGGGTTTCCGAGGCGATATCACTACGGAAGTAGACTGCCCAGTCTTCCTTCCAAGGAGTGGCTGGTGGATTTGAACCGCCACCCTTCTGGTTAGCAGTCAAATGCCTTAGGCACTACGCCACAGTCACTATTCTTTCTCAGTTATTCACATATCTTGCCACAGCTTCATGGATGCTGGCAGAACATGCGCAAGTCCTGGTCAGAGAGAAAAGACTTAGTTACTGCGAGTGGCAACACTAGGTAGACTACCGGCAGCAGCATGAGCCCTCCACACGGCAGGGCAGTGTGAGCAGGGCCAGGTGTGTGTCACAGGAGGGGAACCCCAACATTCCGGGGACTGGTCTGACCTGGGCTCTGTAGAGGGACACTGTCCCGCCTCCCAGGGCTGGTCACTGTGCAAACACCACTGAAAAGATAATCTGGGGGAAAATAGGCAGTGTCTTTGTGCACAAGACATGCAGAGAGAGAGAGAGGCACGGACAATTATCTCCCAACACTATTTTGAAATGTAATGCATTTAAAACTCTACAACTTAGATCAGAAAATCTCTCTCTGTCCAGTGGAAGAGAAGGAGAATAAAGAACCAAGCAATGCAATAGAGAAACAAGGTGTCAGCGCTCTGTGAAAGAGCCCTGAGCAAAGACTAAGCACATTGACGGGCAGCTGAAAAAACGGAGCACAAACACCACCAGGGGTCAGGACACTAAATGAAACAAGGCCGAGATTACAGGGACAGCAACCCCCTAAAAGATGGAAACAGCACCAGTGACGCTCAGCCGACTAGCTGGCAAATTCAGATGAAATGGAGTCTTGAAAAATGTAAAATATAAAAACTGATAAATCATTGAAAACACTGAAGTATAGTTACATTTTCCCACAAAGAGACCTGCAGGTTCAGACCGGCGAGCCCTGGGTAGCCCCCCAAGCCCCCCAAAGCAGGAACCATCACAAGGGCATTAAGAATAAACTTCTAGAAAATAAAATGCAATATCCTCAAATCCTGCTAAGAATACAAAATAAACAAGAGTAGTGAGAAAATGGAAAATTACATGTCCATCTCATGACGGATATAATAGGAAAATCCAAACAAAATACTACCAAGCAAAATCCACTGGCTTATGAAAACAGACCTACATCAGGACCAGGTGATGGTCTCAAGAACGCGAGGAGGATTTCCTATTAAAAAATTGGACTGACATGTACATGAGCAGATTGAAAACATCACAGTTCTCTAAGTATATGCAGAAAAAATCACGAAGATGCAACAGAATTTCCTCATAACCTTGCTTAGAAAACCATGACAGAATAGAACCATCCTTAACCTGACAGGATAGTCACAAAGACTCTATGATGATGTTGTTGTTGTTAGGTGCTGTCGAGTCTTCTCCGACTCACAGCGACCCTGTGCACAGCAGAACGAAACCCTGCTCGGCCGCGTGCCAGCCTCACAAGCCTTGCTGTAGCTGAGCCCATCGCTGCAGCCACTGTGTCAATCCATCTGGTTGAGGCCCTTCCCCTTCTTTGTGGACCCTCCACTACACCAAGCACAATATCCTTCTCCAGGGAAGTTCCTTCCGACAACATGACCAAAGTACGTGAGACG